TAATTTCATGTGCACGCCACACTTGCTATCTCATTTTAGATTTTGAAAATATTGAAACTACTCTCAGGGAACTGAATAGTTTTGAATGAAACGCCGCCGACTGATGTACTACCTAACGCGTACTGCGCATTCCGCACACGCGCAACGTCATCACGACGCGCCTTGGAAGTATTACCCTAATAGTGAATTAGATTCTCAGTCTCTGACCAGAAACTACGCGTATTAGCAAATCATTTTGACGAAGAAGAAATTAAAATTAAAATTAAATTAAAATTAAAAATTAATAATTACTACATTATTATTGAAAACAATCGATAGTAAGCTAATTTAAAAATTATTTTTTTTTACCTTTTTTAGTATAAATACATTGCATGTCGTCCCTACGTACACTTAACTATAGACAGAGTCTCAGAAAAAAACCCCACCACGGATCATGAATCCAGTCGTTGTATGTTTTGTTGTCATGGTTACTGAAACAAGCCTACTAGTCCAAGATACTGTATTAGTATCCGGTGTGTTCAGTGATTGTGAATACCTCCTACCATCATCGTAAATATAGAATGTGGGATAATTCCTACAAACATCGACATAGTAGAACCACATCTGCTACCAGGTAGACGGCCATACTCACAGTAAGCATGATACCAGGAATTAGCACATTTGTGTTAAATTGTCTACAATTCGACTTGGTGGTTAAAATCACATGACCATCATGTGTGACCCCATAGGCGACTGTAAAATCAGTCAAATAACTACCATGTAAATGTGGCCCAGTTTGAAAATTCAGTTGATGACAAGGTGTCGTATTTGTTGTTGAAAATCCAAGCTAGTGATAGCGATAACACTATTACAAGATGCACTTACCATTGTACTAGTTCAACATTGATGCAGCGAATAAAAAATACACCGTGAAAAATTTAAATTTGATTGTCATACTGACATAATATGAACATAAAGGGTGGTGGTGGTCGCGCTGCGTATAAGTGCGACATTTGTGTTGAGTTTCCCACAATCTAATGCGCTCTTTTAATGGAAATCACAAGTATGAGGTTTGACCTGAGCGCGACTTGCATTAATTACTGCCGATGACTCCTTCGATATCTTCCAACAACTTAAATAA